TTTCCTTTCCTTTCCTTTCCTTTCCTTTCCTTTCCTTTCCTTTCCTTTCCTTTTTCATTAACTCTATCTGCCAAGTTTGAACCTTTGATTGCCATGATTTCAAATGCATGTATTAGAAGATGCTGAATCCTAGAGAGCTAGGATTTCACCTAGAGTGTGGTAAAATGTAACTGGCTGAAAACCTATATACAGACACTGTCCATTCCATTTACAGGAGTGGAACATTCTCAGCTTGCTCCTTGCAGACAAATATGGTACTGAAATAGCTACGTGTATCTGTCTCCAGGTTGGGACTAGGCACCACAAATTCTGCATCTTAGGTAAGTACAATTCGGAATGACATTTCAAACAAGTAGTTTTTAGACATGTATGTTTTAGAATTGTTCAAGTTCTCAAACACTGCTAGAATGTGGCAGCCTAAAGGAAAAAGGAAAATGGCACAGTGAAGTGCACTTAATAGGCACAGTTTTTCCAGTGGTTTTGCAATTTAATCTTCACTGTTTACATGAGTGTTAATTCTTTCTTGCATTATTCTAGACTGGAAATTTTCAAGAAATAGAATCTGAATGTATATATTTGTATATATATGTGTATATTGTTACAGGAAAAACAGATATCCCTCAATCTTTCCAACAGTTCCCCTCTCTGTTTACCAAATCATTTGTTCTGTGAAAATGCACAATAACATCATACGCAAAAGACAAGCTTAGTGAAATACTACAGTTGTTGGATTACATGCACACATAAAGGAATTAAGAGTTAGTGTTCCCATAGCAACCTTATTTCTTTGCGTGCTTGCATTAACACTAGGGTTAAAAAAAAAAAAAAAGAAAAAAAAAAAAAAGAAAAAAAATGGAAAAAGCATAACTCCATTGACGTGAGTAAAGTCCAGTGATACTCATGACTACATTCTAGTATGCTGATGAGCATGATTTACTGGTCACTGCTCTGTAATCATTTCATGAAATATTATTTAAGTAATACTCCAACTCTTGACTTGTTGTTAATAACATGGTAGAGAAATTTCCTGGGCTGTTCTGCCTTACTTTTTACTAAGATTACTTTTTTTTTCTCCATGTAATAGCATACAGAACAAATGTGTGTTCCATACAACAAAAATAATCAATAATAATAAACAAATGAGAACAGATTTTTGCATTGCTTATCTCTAGGCACTGGACTGGAAGTTTATATCTCTTTAGCTGTTCCATCTTGAAATTTCTGAAATTATCCCATATAAAATTTCAACTTTGATGTTGTATTAAAAATTCATGTATATATTTGATTCTGTACATATACTTACTGGGAAAACAGTAAATGAGCATATTTTGCACAACAAGCAACTCAGGATTGAAATTAATAGTTAAACGATCCCCTAGGACAACTCAGCATTATAGTCTGCAAATTCGTGTTGTACTTCTACAAAACCACTGTGAAATAATACCTATAAAAAGATTACCTGTATAATGATAATGAATGATGTAGAAGGATAAATAGAAAAACAAAGTTATCACCAGTGTTATCAATGCATTATAAATGCCTACGTGTGACTATTATATATGGTACTGTTTAAAAGTCCTTCCTTGTGATGCAACTCAGCAGACTGATCTAGAATATTTCCTAATAATTAGTACATTGTTCCTCCAACTCTGAAAACACTTCTGAAGTGACAGTATTGTACATGATTTTTTAAAAAATTACTTTGCAGGTCCATAATACTATGAGCAGTAGATTCATGATAGCATTTTTACTTTACTTTGCACGTAGAGCCAATCCTCTACAGGGATCTACAATGATCTATCTGAAGATTTCTGAACATTAGAAAAAGCCAATCTAATAAAATAGATTAGAAGAACTAAATAAAATTGACAGAGGCTGAGAGAGCATTGTATTCTGTTTTATACTGCTCTAGTTTACATGCAAGTTTACACTCCGGTACATCATTGCCTATGCAATTGAAGTGTTTGAAATTCTTGCAGCTTAGTTTTGAGGAAACAGCGCTTTACAGTGAACCTGAGAACAGTGCGGGAGGACCAGTAAAAGTAAAGGGAGAATTATGAGCTGCTTTATTGCTAAATTGGAAGTACTGTAACATTATGTTAAAGTCTTTTTTCCTAAGACCGACAGAAAATACTTATGACAACTTTCCTTTGTGTGCAAAAACGTGCAAGGAGCATATGAGAACAGAAGAACACATCTCCTCCCTCCCACTTTCACTTTGCCCCTCATCATCTCCTACAGGCTGTACTACTGTTACATGTAGGATAAAACAAAGCATATGCATCTGGTAACATTATACGTCAACAGTTTTTAATACATTCTGTCACATCACCAGCAGCTGCAATTGCCACTTGCAATTATATCGGAATCCAAAATAGAACACTTAAAAAACTGAACTGGATGGATCAGGCAACACATGTAGGGGCTGCAAATACGGTCCCATGAAAGGTTTGGATATAATTCCTTTATGTTGATTCAAATACGATTTAAACTTATATTTAATTTTATAAATTTAAATGTATTGAAATATCAAAACTTGATTGTGCCCTTCCTGTACCTGTAATATTTCAGTTTAAACTTTGGAGAACTATCCAAAGTAGGCTTTTGCTTCTGTGTGAAACGGTATTCCTTCTCACATTTTGTAGCTGAGACATACTTCATTTTTGGAATTCTACATCTTGACTGATTAAAAGGATTTATTCCTATATGAATATAGAGAGAATTTGAATATAAAATACTAAGCAGAAGAAAAACTAATCCAGTAGTGCAGATAATAAACCCTTTACAGGAGCAAATAAATTTTAAATGACAAATTCAGAATCTAAACTTCATTACTTTGGACTGGTGCATACTTAATGTTCTCATAACTTTGTTTGTTTAAAACATTAAATTGCAGAATTGGTGTCACCTTATCCATGCTGTCAGCCAAATACTGAAAAAGTATCTATAAAGTTCACACAAGAATTCATGCTCAACAGACATCTGCCATCAGAATGAGAGCATAAGAGGTGATGGTAAGTTGAACATATTGCTTAACAGAAGTTGTCCATAAGTGCTTAAACAAAAGCCACTTTTATGAGCTTACTCCCAATCATCTTTTATTTTTCAAATAAAAATTTGGTTTTATTACAAAGTGAAAATGTTGGGAAGGTTTTTCAAGTTTTTTTAAGCCATCTGAAGGCTGATAAATATATTCAGAATACACTATGCAGCTCATCTTTCTGAATTGAAGAAAGCTTACCAAGTTCTGGATTAAAAAAATTAAAGAAGTATACTCATAATTTAGGATAGCATACAAAACATAACTATTCAGCCTCTGAAATCAACCTGAGCTAAACAGAAACCCACACTGAGCTAGAGGAACTTCAGTACCAACAGTAACATAACTGTTTCCTGAGAAATGTCTGCTCATAAGGGCACATTCCAATCTTTTCAGTGAGTAGAAAGAATTCTTATTTCTTAAGTGACACGTTTGACACCTTTTTATTAAACAAATAGGGATGCTAGAAAGTTAAATCAACAGTAACAATCCAGCCTTGGTAGAGATAGATTGTCATATACTACAATAGAGTTGTCATTTAGTACTAGTAAAAGAAAATCATTTCTAACTCTATTGTCAGGTAACCTACTTTGGAAAATAGTGAATTCAATGCCTAACACCCACATGAGACACAGGAATAGTTGGATTAACAAGTCTAGTGTCATGCTGTCAGCTGCTGTTTATTTAAATAAAATGTCACGAGCCAGAAATAAATTAGAAAGTTTCAAAACAGTGAATTGCTGTAACATGCTGTGTTTCTCAAGATGGACAAAAGTTAAATCTTTATTATGCTGCTTTACTTTCTAAAAGTCTGAACATTTTCTTGAATTTTTATCTTGCAGTTTATTTGGCATATGATATATTCTTCCCTAACTCTGTACATTTGTCTTCAAAATAAATGCCTTTTAAGAAATCTGCTTGATTTCCTTTGAAAAAGGCTACACTGGTTAAACCTTGCTTTTGAAGTCTAGCTAGGTGTATTTCACCTTGTAGGGTGTTGTATACATTTCTCTGCTAGCTCTCTAATTTCATCAAATTATGAAGGAAATAACCTGCTAAATCAGTTTTCTTTTTCTCCTCTGAGATATAAGGAAAATCTCAAACTCAAGTTCTCCAACGCTCTGTCCCTCTTTAGATACTTTAAACTCAGTTATAAATCACTTGACTTTCCATCAAACTGTGTTTGGCTTTCTTGATTTCTTTTTTCTTCCCAATTACCTTAGAAAAATGAGTAAGAATTAGATAGACAGAGATTGTAACTTAGATATAGGCAGGGGAAAATGGTTTGATTGTTTTAAGCATTACTACTAAATTATATATGGCACAAGCAGCAATCTAGTTCATTCCCTGAGATTCAGACTGGATTACACTTTTAGCTATTAAAGTACATGAACTTATGAAGTGATGAGCTCCATCAAAAATACTGGAAACAGGGGAAGCTTACAGACACTCAGCATTTTTTCTGGATATTGTCTCAAGATACCAACCTTTACCTTAAAAATCTATATTTTAAAAACATATATGTTCATATATAAAGAGATGTACCAGGGAATATGATTATAGATATATCTTAAAGGAATGCTAACAGCATGAACAAATAGGCACATATTTTTGGATTAAAGATAAAATGACAGGGACAAACTGCACCCCATTCTAACATTCTAAATTATACAACATAAAAAACATGGAGATATTTACTTGTCCAGGCTTCCCATTCTCACATAAAAAGGCTTCATGCTCTGATGCAAACTCAGGAGCGTTGTCATTTACATCAAGAACTTTGATAGTAACAGGCACCCGGGATACTTGACTGTGGTTCCCTAAGAAAAGAAATCATAGCATAAAAGGTAAGTATATTTTATTTGGGTTTTATGTATAAATTCTTAACTAGAAACCATATGCTTTCTGTCCTTCCTTAATTGAGTTGTCTTATCTGTAATTATGTGACTGATCTGTAACGATGTGACTTGTAGTTGGAGCACGAGATAAAGAAGGATGGCCAGTATTTTGTGGCTGAAAAGAATAAATACATCCCTACTGCAAACAGCATTTGTTGGAGATTATCTCCATGAAGACCTTTCTTGGGCTAAATTGGTAAGATTTTTCTTTGATGAAGTTTGTATTGTTTTATTGATAAAGTTCATTATACATGGAAAAAGGAAAGGCTGTAAACAACATAGATTTATTTCTTTGTTTATCTTTCACAGAGCACAGAACACTTTACTCTATTAGTTATTCTGACTGCACATCTATTATTTCTCCATTATAAATACTATTAATGTGAAAACAGCAAGAAAGGAACTGCAGATTGACATAGGTAAAACTAGATTGTACTCTGGATAAGTGGAGTGTTTTGATTCAATTACAGCTATCCAAAAAAATGACCTATGAACTTCTTTCTTCATTGAAGTAAAGTCTCATAATTTGTAGTGTAAAGCTATTTTGTGTAAACAGGTTTTTTTCATTGCAGGGTAGAATAATCTTATTAAGCTGTACGGAAAGAAAAGCTAAAGCAACAGTTCACATTCCACTTTGAATAAATTTCACAGTCACATTCTAGTGTCTTTCCTCGAGATCAATATACTCATTCTAAGGGATTATTAATAAATATTTTAGATTTTATGGTTTTTCTTCAAAAAGCAAATGCATGAATTCCTTTTAAACTGAGGTGATCAGCTGATCTGAAGACTCAAGAAATGTTCTATAGGACATGCATACACTTACAAGTAATCCAATCCTAGTTTCAAAATCCATCTCTTACTGAATATTATTTTACAAACACAATATCTTAGTTGTATCATCAACAATTCTAATAATTGCATACTGCAAATTAAACTGTAGGTTGGACTTGTTATTTAACTATGTGCTTTTGCCTGAATTGTTACTGCAGGCAAGAAAACTCCTGCATTAAGTCAGGCTGTTAATGTATGTACAGTTGTGACAACTTAGCTGTCCATTTGGGTTCTAGTCTCTGGCAGTATAGAAATAGCTTAGGAGAAGACAGCATTAATTTTGGGGGGCAAAAGTTGCTATTGATTTATACTCAACAGAACTGTAAAAATAAGTGTCAAAAGTAGAAGTAGTTTGGCTATGCCAGTGGGCTGGAGGCTAGTGGTGTGACTTGTAGCAGCTCTACAATTTGTAGAGGTGACTAAAGGAAGAACCACAGAATGCACTTGGTATTTTTTGTGGTTTTGATTCAAGTTAACTGTACTGTAACCTAAGCATATCCTACCTCTTGCATCTTGTTTTTCCTTGTATGTTAAAACAAAACATTTTGACACTTCACCCATAAATCTAAATTTGCATAAATTTCAATATCTCTAATAACATTAATTTTAAATAATATAAAATTCTCTATTTCAAAAGAATAAAATCACACTATCACTAAATGTACTAGTGCTACAAACAAGGTCTATATATTTTCTAGATAGATGGAAATACACAAATTATATCCATGTAGGATATTGAAGATTACAGGGCATCAAATTTTAAAAGCTTTCTAGTCATAGGACTCACAAGTTTTAATTTAGAAAGAGATGTGTCACAGAAGAAAAATAAATTCCTATCAAAATACTGTAAGAGTAATATTTATGTTAGTTTCACATGATGCGATTTTCTTTATTAACAGGTGAAGTGAGCATATATGCCATCAAATAAACACTAGTATGCAAATCAAGAAACTTAAAATATAAAACACTTTTTAAAATCTTGATAAAAATACAGACTATGAAATCTCTACCTTATCAGGATTCTAAGCACTAGTGTCATATTTAAACACTAAAGATTTGCTTTTATCCAAATTAAAGAAATGATGGCAGTTCAAATTTTAAAGACATTACAGAGAAATGTAATTAATTAGATAAGCTTCTAAAGAAATTATTCATGTCTCTTATGACTGCCCCCAAAATGTTTGTCTTTCATCAGAAATACAAACATTAAATTTAAAGATATTATAATTAGAAACTTGATGAGAATTCATTTAAAAAATTAATTCACTAAACACAAGTGAGACCCAACTGGTTTGGAAATGTCTGACCAAGGGGATATCTACTACCTATTAGGGTTCTGGTGACTATGATGAAGTTTATTGCTGAGAAAGAGAGGGAAATCTTATCTACTGCTTGTGCTGCCTACCACACTGAATACATAACATTACTTTGTCATTGTAACATTTTCAATAATTATTCACTTCATGCTAAATGAAAAATAATTAATAATTAAATAAGAATCACAGTAAATAAAAATCACCCCAATTATATGTATTATGGCAAGTAATGACCAAGCACTGACAAGACGAAATGGGTTCACCTGCCTGTTTTCAAACTTAAAATGACTGCAAAGTTCGAAGCAGTAAAACACTTTGAGAGCTCAAGAATTTCAACCAATTCCACTGAAGCAGACTGATGCATTAGTTTCACAAAAACAAGATCAAATATCCTTCTAGTTTTATGGTTTTGCTGCTCTCTTTCCTTTATGTTTTAATAAAAAATATACAGAAATAAAATATGTATCCACTATTCTGCAGCTGAATACAATTCCACTTCAGTCACTTGGCCCAGGAAAGCAAAAAGGTTGGAAACCTGTTATGTAAAGCATACACCTATATATTCCCAGCCTTGAATGAAGAAAGAGAATGCTAGATTCTTGCCATCGTACACAGCTTGTCTTCACACTGATCAGTATTCAATGAAGAAATTTTCCTTATATGTGAATAGAGAGTCAATTATATTCTAAAATAATGACAAAATTAAATTTCACTTATTTTTTTAAATTTAACATCTTGTTTTTTTTTTCTTTTCCATTGAGCCGCAAAGGCATCAGAATTTAGAATTAGATTAAATCGTTCATTTTTCAGGTAGATTGTAAGACTGGTTACTGAAGTTGACAAGAGTATAAAGATAGAGACATTATCTCTTAACAAACTAACTGAATTTGTAAAGATTTGATCAGCTGTATTTATGGTGATGCACAACTTAGAGACCTACCTTTGGACTTGCAAAACAAGTGCACTATTGGGACTGTCATGTGAGAAGCAAAAGCTTGGTTTGAAAGTTTATAACATTGTGGTGAAATATCTAAAAATATTAAGCATATCTATACTTGATAGTCACTGGTCTTAAAAAGCAGTGCTCATTAAAAAACAGAATTATTGTCTGCCAAAATAATGTAAGTTCATCAATTATTTAACAAAAAGAAATCCAGTTTGATCCACTTTTCCCTCATTTAATTAAAGCACCCAAAATCACATCAAGGTTCTCTTTAAAAAGTCATAAACTGTCTTGCATTTTAAGTAAAATTAAGTACCTGTATAGAAGTAGACTCTTGCAGAATAGCACGTATTTTATTAGTATTATCATCATCATATGGCTTGGAAATGGTTATTTCATGCTTCTCTGATTCAGTGAAATTTCTACTCTAATAATATTTTAAATTAGAAGTCCTAGTTCTAACAGAGAAATCAAAACAAAATCTGAATCACTGACTTAATAAAAAACAACAGCACTTGTTTTATATCTCTCATACCTCAAACTTATTAAGTTGTATTTTAATTGTTCTATTCCCCAAGCCTTTATCAAAGTTTTATCCAATGACATTAGTAAGGCAGTCTAAATGCAGGACAAATTTATCTTCCCTTTATGTTTTTAAGTTGTTGCTTTCTTTGTGCAATCCTTTATCTCTGTAATACTGCAGCTTCTACAATTCTTTTGCCATATAAAACTGGCAAGTCTAACTTCAAGTATTCTGAGAGCAGAGATGATACTGTAAAACAGAAATTTTATTTGTGTTGATGCTTAACTGTAGAAATCACATACTGCAGTAAAAGCTGTGCTCATTTGTCTGAGGTGTTGCATAGTAATCTGATTCAAAAGAGATTGACTGCCTGAAACAGACTCTGAAATTGCCAGGAAAAAAAAAAAAACCAACACAGTAATTGGCATCATTTCTTTTAAAAAGAACGGACCATAAGCTATTTCTCAATTAGGATAAAATGTAACCATCAAACCATAAAACAAACAAACAAATGGGTCTCCGTGAAGATTTCAAACCACCCAAAAAATTCTTAAATTTTTAAAGACAAGAAAATACTGAGAGTTGTTGAATATCCATATAAGCATAGAACATATCAATGCATAGTAGAATGGATTCTCTATAAGAAGCTAAGACAAGAAACAAGCTCTTCTTCAAAATTAATCTTCAATTTATATTTATTTCCGCACACTGGGACATACTAGATGAGTACAGATTGTGGTGAATCTCTGCATGTACAAGTGTGTAGGAGGGAGGGAGAAAGAAAAAGATGTGAAACATATTTATCAGATTTGTTCCATAAGTCACTCTTTGGAAGAAAAATAACTATGGCGTTCAAAAGTTTTGCCACCTTTCAATAGATCCCTCAGTTTATTTCTTACGGTCTTCAAAAGAAAAGAAGAATAAATCTAGAAAAAAGCTACAGTAAATTCTGCTTCTATTTCAGCACTGATAAACTGTTGCAAGTTTCACCAAGGATTGCTCAACACCTCTATCTCCTCTGTTTTTGTTCACTTTTCTGCCATGAAAACTAGTCAGAAAATGCATGTCACAACAAGGACGGACACACACAGTGGCCACAGTAGCTAACATGTGAGAAGTGTATTTTGACTTTGTCCTGGAAAGGACAAAGAGAAGAGGAAACTGAGGACAGAGCACATTTTCAAGTAAATGCTTTCAAAGTGGAATATATAGTTAAAAGTTTCCAGAGCTCAATAACTTCATCTGTAAAGACTGACTAAGATAGGCCACCTACCTACCTTAACCAATACGTAAATGTATGATTTGG